TATATATATACAGAGTCTCTATAATAATATAATTGACTGTGCTATTATATCCTGTATACAAGGTGTCCAGTAATGACCGCATAATTTCTCTTTGACAGATAGAGCGGCTCAAACTGAGTCGAAACTGTCATTTTGCAGTTTTCGCAACTGTTTGTTTTAGTTATCCAATCAACAAAATATTTAAATTAAAATATTAAAATCGATGCATAAAACAACTTTAAGATATCTTTGAGAGTTCTTTAAAATAATAATTCATAAAGAATTCTGAAAAAATACCTTAAAGTTGCCATTTGTATTGATTTTATCCGCATATTCGATCTTTGGAAATTATTATCACGTTGTCTCATTAACTATTACAAAAATTGCAAAATGGTACAAGACTTTTCGACTCAGTTTAGTCCATTCTACTTGATCTCGAGAAGGTTATAACTGAATAAATTTATTATCGGACATTCTGTATATCTGTGTTTTAAGGATCCATAATGCAGATATTTAAAAAGCAGAATGCTTATCTTATATGTAACATAAAACATATAAGGCTACTTATTATCGGCATAAAATATAAATATAACTCATTATAACTTTATACAAATCACGATTAAACGCTAAAGAATCGACGTGCTTTTTGAATGCTTCGCATGTGAAAGGATCGTAGCTGCCGGCCAGCAGATCTCCGAATTCATGTCCTCGGGTAAAAGTTTAAATTGCGAGCGGCCGCGACAGTTAAATGCTTCGCCCACGTGAGACGCGCCGCTCGCGTGCGTGGTACACGCATCACGCATTGCGCGCTTGAAATAGCAAAAGGTTGCCGGAATAGTAAAAGGAGACCAACGGCGATTTAGAGGTATAGACGACGAAAGGGACGATTGAACAGTCGGACCAGCGTTACTTAAGAGGTTTTACTGTATGGTCGAGTGAAAAGCAAACGGCCGCAACGAGACTCGCTTGTAAAAATGAACTCTCGTGTCAGTAATCGTGTCGGTAATCGCATATGATCGAGGAAGTGATCGCGAGTATTACGTATATCGACACGCCACAAATTATTGATTTACGTAGAAATTGCTGAGATTGCTTGACGCAGTACGTTCCAATATTTTGTCCCTTGGAAATGCAAATTTATTTTTTGTTGATATTATGAGTCAATAATTAGTCAAAAACACGGAAATAATTTATTGAAATGTTTAAAAATTTAGTTATAGATACAGATTTGAAATTAATTTTGTTTAGGATAATTATGTAGATAATTATCAAGATAATTATGTATGAAGCATTAATGAGCAATGTGATAAAAAATTTTGATAATCTAGCAATCAACTTAAGCGTTCTACATAATTATTTTGATAGTTTTATAAAATCATTTTCAGATCTATGTATATATTTAGCTAAATACATCTCGGCAAAATTTCCTTCTCACAAAAAAGCACGCACAGATCCAGATTATAGATCTGCATATATTGTTTTATGCTATAATCATAATTCAAATTATAGAATTAGACAGTAGTATAACTATTTCATTAAAATGAAATAGTCTATAGTGTACAGGGAAGTTGTATATGTATATATATATTGGGCTAGGAAAAAAATCCTTTTACCAGTTGATAAAAAGACTTTTTTAGCAACTCATGTATTCTATTTTCTAAAAATTGGCAATTATACTACTTGATAGAGCAACATTTTAACCTTAAGAATCTGTATTTTTAATTGCGATGATTTTTAATGGAATTACGAGCAATAAAATCAGAATGTTTCCTTTTTACTTAATCCGCAAGTAACTCAGGAATAAAAAAATCGTAGGAACATTTTTAAAAAACAATTTTGTAGAGAAAACTTCAAATTTTCACGATAGTCGAAAATTTGTTCAAATTTTTTTTAGGCACGCTACAAACGTACAAAGTGAAAAGAAAATTTTTCATTTTTTTTCAGCGCGTATAGTTTTCTATATGTAAACATTTCAAATAACTCACATAAATTTAAAAAATATAATAACCATTAAAAAGTTGAAATTTCAAGCTTTTAAATTTACATTTTTATCATTTTTAACGAAGATATTGATGGGGAAAGATCTTTTTACCTTTTAACTTGTAAAGGGACTTTTTCCCTAACTCAATACTATTCTCTCTTGAATGATTTTGAATGATTTTGAAAATCGCTCATAGCCAAACTCTGTTATAAGTCTCTAATTTAGATAAAAGAATCATAGTTTTGGAAACTGTGATAGATACGGCAAAATGCTATAGAATTATTCTGTCCTGCTTCTATTTTTACTTGGCAAAGCTCTACGAGAAGGCCTAGCTCGAAGCGTTTTTATTATTTATTGAAAAAATGATTCTAGTAGATTTGAACATGTGTAACTTTTTTCTTTATCAAAAAGTATAGCGGGTATTGTAAACTTGGGTATTGTAACTGTACGGAAAAGATAACTAGAAACTGTAATTTCTTCAATAATTGCTGAATAATTGTTGTAATCATTCTCGAAGATAATCTATATTAATAGTAATTTATGGATATATACTATTCGAAATAACAATTTTGTAAATATTACATGTAATATTTTTATTTTAGACTACTTGCAAAGTTTCCACTAAAAGCTGTTATAATGTCAAATAAATTAAATTGTCATAATCAACGTTACATGTATGTATCACATTACAAAGAAAATTGTAATGTGATTTTACGATGAAAAATAGTTGGGTGATTTTTACCTTACAAGATTAAGTAAAAGTATTTTAGCTATTTTTGCCGCATTTATTACAACTTTATTTTATCTGAATTTTTATTTTATCTGAAAAATATCGGAGGTGTAAGATTAAAAAAATATTATATACAGTTATATAGTAAATCCATTCAATAATTATCTTACTGTAAAGTAAATCATATACTATTCCCAAGAATATTAAAAACAGCTCTCAAAAGGATTATGCCCAATTTTATAGCAATTTGGACCCCGGATAACTTTGAGACATGCCTAAAATTTTAAGATATCAAAAGAGAATCAAAAATTCCATAAGCCCAACTTTATAGGAGAAATTATCTGAGTGCTAGAATTATCCAAAGTTCGCTATTACCATGTAAAACTAATCTTATCTAATTTCTCTGGACATATTTCAGATACTAGATGATTGGAGAAATCGAATAAAACCAGTCTTATATGGTACACAATACATGGTCATAATAGCGAACTTTGAACAGCTGCAGCACTCAAAGGACTCATTTTACAAAGTTGTGGAACTTTTTAATTTTTTTTTTATGCTCTAAAATCCTAGCTAGGTCTCAATGCTGTTCAACCGAGAGACTCAAACTGGGCATAGTCCTTTACTTTGCAAAATATAGAAAATATCTTACAATATGGCTATATGGCTATAATCGTTCATTTACCAAGAAAAGTAAATTTTACATAAATAGGAGTTTATTTCTATAACTTGTCAAAAATTCATAAAAATTTATTAAAATTCTATATTGTAATTTGTATTTTCATTTTCATTATACAGATATTTATAATATTGTGACCATTTTTGCGTCATAATTCGGAGAATTGACGAAAAAATGACTATTAACCAGAGAAAATCAAGGAAGAATGAAGCGGATAGTTCTCTTTTCTGATTGGTTCCGCCATTTATAATACAATTCCACAAATATGTGCATGTACATACATGTACATACACACGATACTAGTGCGTACAATACTAA